ACGCATCACACCGCAGCAAAACGCACTGAATGCGGAAGTATTTCCACCACAACAACAAAATTAAGTCAAAGGTCTTTGTCTTGATTAAGTAATGAAATGATTGAAAAATTATTTGTAAAAACCATAGCAGGACCAGGGATGAGCATTTCTAATTAAAAATGAAATCCAATGCAAAGATCTTTGTACACATCATATCAGAAAATATCCTTGGGTTCTTCATGGGGCGGACGACAGTGACCCCAAGACTAAACCATCTGATAGACTATATGAAAACCGTTGGGTTAGAATTACGTTCTATCGAACATGATTCGCCGTTTCGATCTCTATAGCAGCAGAGTGGGACTTTTGGACCCCAATTTGACCATCGTAATTGTTCCATTTTGAGCTAAAAGCCACTCCTTAGCAGCTGAGCTGTCAGCTGTTAATGACAGGATGCTGCACTTTTGGGGGCGTTACTGCCAAAAGGTGCTACTCACTTAATATGACATGTTGCCCTTAAGGCAAATTGTCTGACAAACCTATCTCTTACCTCCCACGGGAACAGATCACGACGTTTACCAGAAATAGTGCCAATCAGTTTTTTTTATAGAATATCACTTATTAATGAGCTTAAAGGAGAAGTCATTCCTCGCAATATGGATCGGACGTTTGTTTGGTCTCCTTTTTTCTGGCTAGTTAACTATTGGAATTTTTCTCTGATAAAATTATGCGGATGAATACACACAGCTCTTGTGAACTGTGGTGTGGCGGAAAAGCTCATTCAGCAGGTCAGATGTGGGCAGACCACTTCAAGTGATTTCATCAGAAGGTAACCACATTCTTTCGGCTATAAATTCTGTACAGTTTCGAAAATTCTTTTGAATCACACCACGAAACATATTGTTTTCCCACGTGTGTCTTCTTCTTCTCCCGCCATTCTGTTAAATGGATTCAATTCTGCTGTTTTCAGCCAAATGATCTAAAATTTGGCACGAAGCGTATTCAGCACATATATAAGTCAGATGTGGACAGAAGGTAAGCACATTCTATTAGCTACAGATTCTATACAATTCCGGAATTTCTCTTGAGTCAATGGGCTGATATTAAACCAGGGTTATTCAATCCATTTAATGTATTGAATCTGAAGGAAGTATATAAATCCTTGCAATAATGTCACACCATGTCCCATGCATAACAGACTTTTTTGTCCCATGCGTAACAGACTGTCGGTTTTTATCCATTTCACAATTCACATTTGCCCTCAAATTCTCCCACTTATGTATTCAATGTGTACCCACATAGCTTCACATTTCTTTAACCCTTGTCCTGCTGACATTCCTGGCACAATGTTTTTCAATAATTTCATGTCGTAATTAGATCATAGACCCTCAAACTTTTTTTTTTGCTCTCTAGTGGCATAGTTACTTCCAAATCCATTGCGTTTTGCTGCGGTGTGATGCGTTGCACGAGAAATACCCCCAAATCGTACCTATACATGATGTTATATAGATGGTACTGTGTGTGCAGAACAACAATTGTTGAGCTCCTCGGGGCAAGGATTTTAAATTGCTTTACTAAATTTACATAAAAGTTACGGTTTTTAACGACGAGAGTGGTACCCCTCTAGTCTCTTTTTTTTCAGAAGACTGAAGAGTGCATCATGGTAGAAGCCAAAAAGGCAGACGCCATAGCTACGTCCGACAAACTGCTGTGTTTTCTACTCTTCGGGGCGACTCTAATTCAGTACGCAGGAAGAACCAGCGTCGCAGTTGTGCTGGTTGAATTACAGTTACCACCAGTTAATGATACAAACACAAATATCTCCAAGGTAAGCTATGGTAAAGACCTTGCAGTTCATTGACACAGCATTTTTTTACTTCGTAGTCAGAAAAAAACTAAACTTGTTTAACGTAGAACCACGTACATACAACCAACATGTTTATATGTTTAAAAAATACTCGAAATCTTTATACTTAAAATATGAAAGTAAACGCAAACAACCGTAATTTTGAAACACAGATCACACGGAATAAATTGCAGAAATCACTTCTGAATATTTTAAGTGACATCCGATACAAATACAAACGATACAAAAACAAACCACTCTAAACATATAGAAGAAATTCTCTAGTAGTAGAGTTCGATTTGTCGGTGAATATTGTTTTCCTAGATGTCTAACTTTATCATCGAACCGTAAGTTTGGTTATTATAAACGTTTTAGGAACACATTTACATTTTTTACAGACGTTTTGTGAAAAAAAAAGAATTAACTTAAGCCCTTTGTGTCTATATTTTTTTTTTCAAAACAGTCGCACATACAGTACAGTCAGTTCCAAGTAAACGCGATACTGAGTTCAATCTACATCGGTCAGCTGCCTTCAAGTTTCATCGGGGGTTATCTGGCCTATCGATATTCAGCTATTAGGTGAGTCTATACTGTTGATGATAAATATGCACATTAAATTTTTCAGATTGTGTAAATTTGCTGATTTCTTTCTAAAATTGATTGGTTAATTTGATAGAAAAAAAGGATCTGTTGACTTTAATACAATCATAATCATTGGTTTCTATCAAAATTTTGGAAACACATTTTGTTGAAAAAGAAACGTTTATTTTATGAATTATCTACATGGCTATTTTTGTAACCATATTCCCCCAAAATATTCAGGATTTTCCTGGCGTCATTTGGTGCCGGCTCCATTGTCCATGTCCTTGGTCCTGTCATGTTTGGCAACTTTAGAACTGCAGTGATCCACCGTGTCTTGGCAGGCCTGGTAGAGGTAAGACTTGTAGTTTTCAAACAACAATAATAAGAAATACTAATAATATAACGCAATGCTCACCATTTTTGAAGATAAAGGCTTGAGATCCAAAAATTAGACAGAACAGGTTTTAATATTATGTCAGGCTGATGACATCAATTATACGTTAACAGTTAGTATTTTGCAGTTGATATTACGAGTCTTCAGGTATTTAGATTTAACATTGTCAGTTTCAAAGTTGGGTTATTTAGTATTATATGCATACTTTGTTGTTGGGGTTGTTTCCATATCCAGTTCAAAATTCAATTTTTTATTGGTTATCATGCACATGTCAATGCACTTCCAAAGTTATGATTGGTGCCATTGCCAGTACTGTTAATTTATTGTTTTCTTTTTTTTTTAATATCAGGGACTATGCGAACCCGCCGCATTTGGCGTGCTAAGCCAAACCTTAACACCAAGGCAAAGTGCAAGAGTTTCCCCCTATATCTTTGCAGGTAATATATCAAAAGGTTGTCTTGACTTAAGCTAATTAAAATCATCAAATAAATAAAAACATTTGACCATTTCAGTAAATACTAAAACACATTTTAGGTAATAATGTCCAATTTTATGAATTCATAATCGTCTATTTTTGTTATGTGTTTAAGCTAAAGATTGAATTAAAATGCGTTGAAAATCGGCGTTTTTATGGTAGATGCAATGATTAAAAATGCAATGTGAAGAAACATTTGCATAAACAAGGTGTTTACTGGAAAATATGAGTACATTTAAACCTGGTTGACAATGCATTTTTTCTTCAATGTTTTAGCATACTACTTTGGCCAGTCTCTTGGAAAAATCTCAACAGGCTTTTTGACGCAAAGACTGGCCTGGCAGACAGCATTCTACGTGTTTGGTAAGTTAACCATTTAAACTTTGAAAAAGACTTTCAAAATGTAAGGCAAAAAGTTCACGTGATCATAGTTTTAATCATATATTGTAATTATAAAAGCTTAATTAATATACTTTTTGTAGCGTCTGTTTAGATGTACATTTGTAACTATGTTTGTGCTTTAGCAATTAATTTTTTGTGTTCTTCAGCAATTGAAAATGTCTGGGCAAATTTGTATAATGTAATATTGCTCTTAATTGATGTTATTAATTAATGCTAAATATTCATGTTACTCACCAAAACCTAGCAAAGGATAATTCAGGCTCGTATTTTCTCTATTGATTAATGTTCTGTGTGCAGAACGTAATGACGCTTATAGTATTATTAGTATTGTTATTACATAGCAAATGTAAACATTTGTTATGATGTTTGTATTTCAAATGTATGTAAGAGTGGTGTAAAGTCACTAATTGCAGGTAAGTGAAATACACAAGTAAGCTGTATTTTATAAAGGAGTGCTATGAACAACTTATTGATTTTCATAAATATGCAGGGGGCCTGGGGATAACGTGGGCAGCCGTTTCGGTTGGATTTGCACTTACAGGCTTGGGTGAGAGGCAAGATGCACTGGATACACAAAGTCAGGACAAAGAGGGTTTCAAAACGGTAAGAAATAAGACGAACTTCACTATGTAATATAATAGTACAGATGTATGCAGAAAAGGTTGCCTTATATGTCAATGACCAAACATTTTATCAGCATTTCATTTATTTTATATCTATTTTTTAATCATATTTGATCAATTATAAAGATGTTGGTGTTACAAATGCATTTGATCCAGGATAAGTATATCAAGACTAATGAGATCCTTCATATTTCCTTTTTACAACGCAATTTTAACACTAGATTACGTCATAAGCTTGTTCAAAATTTGGACTTACATGGTATTGTTGTAGCATGAATTTACATGCTGGTGGAATACGGTCATCAAAACGTCGACTAATGTTAAAAATGTAGTTGTAAACAAAATATCTAATTGCTTCCCAATTATCGCGTGTGTGTGTGTGTGTTTGTGTATGTATCTGTGTGTGTGTGTGTGAACGTGTGTGTGTGTGTGTGTGTGAGTGTGTGTGTGTGTGTGTGTGTGTGTGTGTGTGTGTGTGTGTGTGTGTGTGTGTGTGTGTGTGAATGTGTGTCTGTGTGTGTGTGTGCGTGTGTGTGCTTCGTGTTTCAGGGTTGGTTGTGTTATAATGTATCAAATCTATGTTTTCTCTGTAGAAAGGTGTTCCATTCTGTCACATCTTCACGTCTCCTGCCGTCTGGGCCTACGTTATGATTCTAGCAGCATCCTACGTTTGGGAGCCAACTCTCCTGCCCCTGTACTTTCAGCAAAGCTTCGGGGTACAGGTCGAACTGGTAAGTTATGCTTTACATATGCATTTTGGATAATTAGGACGATGCAAATTCTTTACATAGCTTTACTAGTTAAAATCAACCCTACTCAAAGCAAATAAGCGACATTCAGAAAGTACAGCTACGAAACTATGACGCCTTATGGGTGTGTTTAAAATATGTAAACAAAAGTTTTTTTTTTTTTTAATGTAACTTCAACCCTATTCAGACAGGCTCAACAAAAAAAATAAAACATAATACGAAACAAGTATAATCTTAATATACTTAGTATAATCTTAATATACTTATTATACAAGTATAATCTTAATATACTTGGCAAAGAAAGAAATTATTTAACATTGCTTGACACTTCTAAACACGTGTGGAATCCTTAAAGGGAAACCTGCAGTACCAAGGGCCTACACTGTTGAACAGTCTTGCTGCTGATCTGCGGCAAC